GGTTCCTCAGTAGAACAGGCTTCCTCGGGAGGTGGTGGGCTCTCCCTCTTTGGAGGTTTTCAAGCGGAGCCTAGATGGCCATCTGACAGCAATGCTGATTCTGTGAACTTAGGCAGATCATGAGAGGGAGGGCAGGAAGGGTTGCCTCAGTATTTAGTTCTTGTGGCCCTTTCTTACACGCCCAGGGAAATACTGATCATCACTTTGTGGTCAGGAAGTAATTTTTCCTCCAGGCCAATTTGCCTGGAGATCCTGGAGGGTTTTTTTTGGTCATCTTCTGGACATGAAACAGCAGTCACTGGGGGTGTGAGGGGGAGGTATTTGTGAATGTCCTGCATTGTGCAGGGGGTTGGACCAGATGATCCTGGAGGTCCCCTCCTACTCTATGATTCTGTGATTCTATGATTCTATGAAAATATCCTTTTGTTAACAGCCTTGCTCAGGTCTTGTAAACTGAGGGCTGTGACTTTCTTGATTGAGGCAATCCATTTCAGCTTGGGTCTTCCTCTTTTCCTGCTGCCTAGGAACCGAATGCACCCCCGAAAATGGGCCATTCGGCTCCCTTTCGGGCAGCCAAGGGCAGAGTCAGATTCTCTGGTCTGATTCGGCCCGCTGCCAAAAGCCGCCGCCAAAATTTGGCAGCAGCCAGAAAAACGGCCAGGGAGGGAAGGCACTTTAAACTGCCTTCCCTTCCATGGCCTTCGGGGCGCCTGAGCAAGCCGGCGCTTAGATGGAAGAGAGGGGGGTTTAAACCTCCTCCCCTTCCATGGCTTGCTCGGGCGCCCTGCAGCTGCGAAGAGCCTGAGCAAGCCGGCCCTTAGATGGAGAGCCAGTTTTGTGTAGTGGTTAAGTGCGTGGACTCTAATCTGGGAGAACCAGGTTTGATTCCCCACTCCTCCACTTGCACCTGGCTGGATGACCTTGGGCAAGCCGTAGTTCTGATAAGAGCTGTTCTTGAAAAAGAGCAGTTTCTGTCAAGAGCTCTCTCAGCCCCACCCACCTCACAGGGTGTCTGTTATGGGGAGGGGAAGGGAATGGAGTTTGTAAGCTGCTCTGAGACACCTTTGGGTAGTGAAGGGTGGGGTATAAATCCAATCTCTTCTTCTTCTTCTTTTGGAAGGGAAGGGGGTTTAAACCTCCCCTTCCATGGCTTGTTTGGGTGCCCCGCGGCCACGAGGCACCCGAGCAAGCCGGCCCTTAGATGGAAGGGAAGGGGGTTTAAACCTCCTTCCCTACCATGACTTGCTTGGGTTTCCCGCAGCCGTGAGGCGCCCAAGGAAGCCAGTCCTTAGATGGAAGGGAAGGGAGTTTAAACCTCCTTCCCTTCCATGGCTTGCTCGGGCGCCCCGCAGAGAAGAAGAAGAAGAAGAAGAAGAAGAAGAAGAAGAAGAAGAAGAAGAAGAAGAAGAAGAAGAAGAGATTGGATTTATACCCCGCCCTTCACTTGGAGTCTCAGAGCGGCTTACAAACTCCTTTCCCTTCCCCTCCCCACAACAGACACCCTGTGAGGTGGGTGGGGCTGAGAGAACTCTGACACAAACTGCTCTTTTTCAAGGACAGATGTGCCAGAGCTTGTGACTGACCCAAGGTCACATCAGCAGGTGCAAGTGGAGGAGTGGGGAATCAAACCCGGTTCTCCCAGATTAGAGTCCGCACACTTAACCACTACACCAAACTGACGCTTAGATAGAAGGTGCCAAAATTGACATTCGGCTGGCCGAATGACTCCCTAATCGGCTCGTACAGCTGAAATTGACATTCGGGGGTCATTCAGCCACCAAATTTGATTGTGCCCAATTTGGCCGAATCTGAATCGGGCCGAATATATATATATATTTTGCACACCCCTACTGCGGCCTTCAGTTATCCCTAGCATTACTGTCTTTTCCGGTGTCTCTTGTCTTCTCATAATGTGAGCAAAGTATGATAGCCTAAGTTCAGTCATTTTAGCATCTAGGGTGAGTTCAGGTTTGATCTGATCTCAAACGCACACCTGCTTTTTTGGTAATCCACGATATTTGTCAAACTCTCCTCCAACACCACATTTCAAATGAATCAACTATCTTCCTGCCATAACCTCATCCCAGCTTATTCCACAGCCAGCCATGACTGGTGGGAAGCATTCTACCTAATCTTTTCTCACCTTTTTTGACTAGTTAGCATACTCTCTGCCCTATTAAAGATTCCTACTGCTCTTTTGCCATGGAGGAGATGGCATCTTTTGTTCTTTCTTGAAGTTTAGAACATAAGAACATAAGAGATGCCAATGTTGGATCAGGCCAAAGGCCCATCTAGTCCAACACTCTGTATCACACAGTGGCCAGAAATACCAGGTGCCATCAGGAGGTCCACCAGTGGGGCCAGGACATTAGAAGCACTCCCACTGTTGACCCCCCCCCAAGCACCAAGATGACAGAGCATCACTTGCCCCAGAGTCCCTATCTATACCTTGTGGCTAATAGCCACTGATGGACCTCTGCTCCATATGCTTATCTAATTCCCTTTTGAAGCTGTCCATGCTTGTAGCCGCCACCACTTCCTGTGGCAGTGAATTCCATGTGTTAATCACTCTTTGGGTGAAGAAGTACTTCCTTTTATCCGTTCTAACCCGACCGCTCAGCAATTTCATGGAGTGCCCACGGGTTCTTGTATTGTGAGAAAGGGAGAAAAGTACCTCTTTCTCTACCTGCTCTTTCCCATGCATAATCTTATAAACCTCAATCATGTCACCCCTCAGTCGTCGTTTCTCCAAGCTAAAGAGCCCTAAGTGCTTTAACCTTTCCTCATAGGGAAAGTGTTCCAACCCTTTTATCATTTGAGTTGCCCTTTTCTGCACTTTTTCCAAAGCTATAATATCCTTTTTAAGGTGTGGTGACCAGAATTGCACACAGTATTCCAAATGAGGTCTCACCATTGATTTATATAGGGGCATTATTATATTGGCTGATCTGTTTTCAATACCCTTCCTAATAATCCCCAGCATAGCATTGGCCTTCTTTATTGCAGTCACACACTGTCTCGACATTTTCAGTGAGTTATCTACTACAACTCCAAGATCTCTCTCTTGATCAGTCTCTGCCAGTTCAGACCCCATCAACATGTATTTATATTTAGGATTTTTGGCTCCAATGTGCATCACCTTGCACTTGGCCACATTGAACCCCATTTGCCATGTTGACGCCCACTCGCCCATCTTTGACAGGTTTGATGGTGGATTTAATCCATACGGAGAAACTGAAGCAACTGGATCCCAATCTAATGTGGTTCACCAAGAGATTCCCTTGGGGCACCAGGGAAGAAGAGACATTCAGAGATATTATTCTCCTAAAATGTTTTCAATCCTCCTCTCCCATGACTTGTGATTCTCTCCAAGATTAGCTATCATTTGTGCCAAATTCACTCAAAGCCCTGAAAGAGGTGATTCACGATGGTTGCTCCCCACATCTAGTACATATCTTCTCCAGAAGTTCTCTAATTCCTGAGTCTCAACATCTTCCTCAAGGTGTGAATTCATTTTATCTGGGCAAGATTTAAGTGGCCAGGAATAAGGTTATTTAGTACTTTATTTTAGCATTGTAGATTTTAAAATGTGAACACATGAAGCTCCCTTATACTGAATCAGACCCTTGGACCATCAAAGTCAGTATTATCTACTCTGACTGGCAGGAGGTTTCCAGGGTCTCAGGCAGAGGTCTTTCACATCACCTACTGCCAGATCCTTTGACTAGAGATTCTGGGAATTGAACCAGGGACCTTCTGCATGCCAAGCAGATGCTCTGCCACTGAGCCATGGCCCCTCCCCTGTGTGTTCTTGTATTATTATTTTAAAATTCTATTTTAATATTTTTGCCCTATCCTACATGGAGGAAAGGCAGTAAATGAATGAATGTTGCTTCTGTCCGACTTGATTGCTACAGGACTGAGCTGAAGATGGGCAGGACCGGGCAAAGTGAAGGCGGAGACCAAGACAGTAGCCCACATTTGCATCTCTCTGCTTGCCCTAGTTGCAAACAGCATGTTTAATCCAGAAGCTTTCACACAGATCAGAACTTGTTACATCATTTGTTCTGGCCTATTAGAGCTCAAGACACTTCCCATTGGTCTGGTTGGAAATCTTGTAGTTCCTCTTCTTTGGTCTGCATGAGACTGAATTCCTGCCTCTCACACTGCAGAACTGGGACCCAACTATGTGTAGGTCCTGACAATGATGATGCCCCCATTTAGAAGGCTAACCCCCCCCTACCAAATGACTATCTTTTGCCACACAACCCACGGTAGAATCAGAGACACGGCTCTTAATTCCATGCCTAAATTTTGACCTATGAAAAGAAGCAGAAGTTACCGGGGCACGAATTCCATCACTTCTTTTAGACTGACATCGAGCACTGCGACTTCTAGTCTGTCACAAATACGGCCAGATGCCTTCATGTGTTGTCCAACCATCTAGACAAAAAAGGAAGGGAGCTTAGCAAATAAACAGAAACAATGGCTTTGTTCTGTTGGAATATGCAAGGTCTATTGTGTATAGATAAAGAAAATGACAAGAACATCCTGTAGGGAGCAGCAGAGGGAACAACTAGTTAGCATAGTGAGATTAGGGACTTTCTACTATTTTCAGATATTTATTTATTTATTTATTCTCAGATTTGTATCCCGCCCTCCCCGGAGGCTCAGGGCAGCTAACAAGGGCATAAATGCCTGATAAAACAATAAGAAGAGTATAAAATACGATACAATATACAACAAAATACAATTAATAAAATATCAGTGCTCCACTATTCATTCCAATTCATAAGATCAAGATGGTGTTCTACAGATGTTATAACAATACAATGACCGTATATGTCCCCACAACCCTGTCATCCGCCAGGTACGTCTCGCACCCCCGATGATACCCGCACTGGCAGTGGTAAGGGTGTGGTGATGGAAAAAGCGTAGGTGGAATAATGGTGGCGGCAGCTCCTAATCGAAAGCCTGGTGGAAGAGCTCCGTTTTACAGGCCCTGTGGAACTGCCCAAGGTCCCGCAGGACCCGGATCTCTTCTGGGAGCTCCTTCCACCAAGTAGGAGCTGCCACCGAAAACGCCCTGGCCCTGGTCACAGCGAGTTTGATGTTCCTGGGGCCTGGAATATCCAGGAGATTTTGGGTCCCCGACCGTAGTGCCCTTGGGGGAACATGCGGGGAAAGGCCATATAGGGCTTAGTCTCCTTCCTGTCTCCTGATTGGCTCAGTTGGGTTTTTTCCTGCTCCTCCTGAGATCTCTTCAATACTGACTTCCTCCTAGCTAGTTAAGACAGTTAGACTTCTTTTTCTCTCCCTTCTTTCTTACAAAGTTTGTTCTCTTCTTAATAAACTGACTTTATTTTTAAACAACTTGTGCCACACTCTGCCAACATATACAGTGTGTTGCTATAGCCCTGGTGGACTGGATAGAATACAGCAGGCAACCTAATCCTTGTTTCTGGATGTGGCAGTTATGGAATGAGCCAGGGCTCCCACTTCAAGGGCTATAGCAACAAACAAGTATGAGCAAGTTCCTCTTCTTGCCTCTACATGTTTGTATGGAGGGGGAGAGCAGTCACCGCATGTTATAGAGAAAATTCCTCTCCCCCATAATGCTCAGGGGACGCCCAGTGGAGTTGGAGGGCACTAGATCCAGAGTCAGTGTGGTGTAATGGTAGGGTGTCAGACTAGGATCTGAGTCTTCACTCTGCCTGAGAAACAGGACTCTGGACTAGTAGATGGGCCATTACTCTGATCCTGGCATCAGATGCTTCTGATTTGCTTCTGAGCAAATGTGCTACGTTTGAGCCACAGCCTAAGGTGCCCTCTGCTGTGAAGATTTCACCCTCTGTCTTTGGATTTACCATTTTGGATTACTGGCTGCTTAGACATTTTGGGGGGCTCGGACTGGATTTTTGATCTTTTGCCTGGAATCTGTATGGACAGGCAGCTGCGACCAGTTCTGCTTTCACCCTCTGGTCCTTCCTCTCTAGCATCCCCATTCTTGCGTGTTGCCTAGTGTGGGGGCATTTGGAACAGCTGACTGTGAGATGGCACTGCTGTGTTTATTATTACTTTATGCCCAGCCCTGACCTGGATAGCCCAAGGCTAGACCAGTCTCACCAGATCTCGGAAGCTAAGCAGGGTTGGCCTTGGCTAATATTTGGAAGGACGACCTCCAAGGAATACCAGGGTCGTGATGCATAGGCCGGCAATGGCAAACCACCTCTGAAACGTCTCTTGCCTTTAAAACAAGTCTAGATCACCACCTAGTGGTGCATAATGCTAAAGAGCTAGAACTTCTGGTTGCCAGACAATCTTCGGATCTCCTGGCTGTTCTACATACAATGCCACATGATGATGATGATGATGATAATAATAATAACTGTATGCATAATATTATCACAAATGGCCCCTCAATAAACTCCTTCTGATTTCACCATCACTAAGGTCTCAGTACTTATTCCAAACCTGCATGACTTTGCCCTGTCACTTTGTCAAACAATCCTTGAGTTGTGTTGACTTGTGTTGGTCTTTGCCTGGTCTGTGTGCACAGAAGGGTGTCCAACCTGAGACTGCAGCTCACAGAAGTGAGAGGCATAGGGCTGCCAGCTTCGAGTTGGGAAATACCTGGAGATGTTGGGGGTGGAGCCTCAGGAGGGCAGAGTTTGGGGGTAATGCTATAGAGTCCAGCTTCTAAAGTGGCCATTCTCTCCATGTGAACTGATCTCTTTCGCCTGGAGATCAGTTGTAATAGTGGGAGATCTCCAGCCACTACGGGGAGGTTAAAAAACCACACAGGGAAAAAACACAGTACAGAATAAGCCAAAAAACAAAAATAAATGTTTACAGAAATGTCAAAAATATTTGTAGAAAACCTTTTATATAAAGTGTCCCAAAGTACGTGTGATTACAAGAATATTATGACAATTACTTTCTTCAAATAATGTAAACCACTCGGTTGATGAAAACAGTCCAAAGCAATCCAAAACTTATAGACGTGCTTCAGATAAAGACCATTGGAATGTAGGAAGCTGGGAAACGCATGAAGCAAGCCTTGAACTGATACCTTATGACACAAGTATGATGTGAACTGATCCCTGAAGACATCAGGTTGTAAAAGTGTCTACGTTGCAATGGTCTTTATCTGAAGCACCTCTATTTGTTTTGGATTGCTTTGGACTGTTTTCATGAACCGAGTGGTTTACATTATTTGAAGAAAGTAATTGTCATAATATTCTTGTAATCACACGTACTTTGGGACACTTTATATAAAAGGTTTTCTACAAATATTTTTGACATTTCTGTAAACATTTTTTTTTGACCACCCGGAGGTTGGCAACTCTAGTGAGGCAGCATAAAGAAGGCTTTCTTTCTCACACTGAAGCTACCCTGGTGTGATTATGAATTGGAAAATGGACCCCATTCACACTGGTATGTGTCAAGGGTTCACATGTTCTGACCATACACCGTGATGTCTATATGTGCGTATGTCTTTAGGTGAACCCTCACAGATTAGTTTCTATTTCCCCCCTCAAGGCCAGTACGGGAGGGGCCTCAGTTCTACTGTCCTGTGTGTAGGTTCTGGTTGCCAGTGTATGTGTTTTCTTGCTGGAAGAAGGGTTGCCAAGTTCCAGGCGGTGGCTGGAGATCTCCTGGGATTACAATTGATCTCCAGGCGACAGAGATCAGTTCCCCTGGTGAAAATAGCTATGTTGGAAGGTGGACTCTGCCCAGGCTAACACAATCTCAGAAGATCTCAGAAGCTAAGCAGGGTTGGCCTTGGGTAGCAATTAGGGTTGCCAATGTCAGGCCCTACCTGGCTGCCAGCGGGGAGCTCCAGGGTCCATCCTGGGATATTCTTGTGAGTGTGCAAAGCACATGCATAGTGAAGACGTCACCCGGAAGTGATGTCATCATGTCGCCGATGTTGGGTGGGTGATGCTCTAGTTTTTGGGCAAAACTCTATGGTCTGAGCCCAATTTTACCATAGAGTTTTGCTCAAAAACTAGAGTGTCACCCCTGACGTTGGCAACGTGATGATGTCGCTTCCAGGTGACGTCATTACATCACTTTCGGGGGCATTTGCGTGGGGTGGTGCTGGAAAGGGACCTGCAAAAGCGGGGCAACCCTTGCCCGGACCAGGGGTCTGGCAACCCTATTAGTAATTGGATGGGAGGCCACCAAGGGTTGCTATGCAGAGGCAGGCAATGGCAAACCACCTCTGTTCGTTTCTTGCCTTGGAAGCCCTATGGGGTCGCCATTAGTCAGTTGCGACTTGACGGCACTTACCTACACAGCAGACCCCAGACGATACAACACACAGAAACAACAGTTTCCCTGGACAGCACTTTCCTTCCACAACTGCACACCTATAACACTGACACGGCCACACTCTGCACCTAAGTGGTAACACTGCTGTGATCTTCATACTCACACACGTTACCACTGCTCACGTAAGCTGACCATTCCCACAAGTCTATAAAGGACCAGAAAATGCTGTGTGAATCAATCTGAGCCATTTGCTAAAAGCCGTTTTAATACTGTTCAGAATCGGTTCTTGCTTTGTGCCATCCCCCCACCCCCATTTTTGCACATTTTGCTTCTTCCTTCCTTCTCAATCTCGTCACTTGTTTGGCTCCAGAAATTGATATACAGACTCTCGCTGAATCACCCTGTTCAATTTCCACCACACCTCTTATTCCAATTCGTATTTGACTTCCTCGTTGTTAAAAAATATCTAATGATTTTACAGGGGTGAAAAGAAATCACTCGTGAAAGCAGGACAAAAAAACCACACACATCCTACGTTAAACCTTTCTCTCTCCTCCCCCCCCCAGTTTCTTTGGGGGTATTATTTAATTGAAACGACTCAGTCCATTGAAAACTGTGAAAATGAAACTCTCCTGGTTTCCTTATTTTCCATTCCATAAAGGTAGCGGGAACTTCTGTTTCTTGCTTACTGTTTAAATGTGAGTGGGTGTCATTCTGGCTGTGGAGTCTCTCTCTCTCTCTCTCTTTTTCTGGCTACTATAGGCCTGGAAGCAATCCTCCCCCCCCCATTAAATGGCTTTTCTAATACACCTGTCTCCCCCCCATTTAAAAAGAATTCTAAAAATCAGTTGCCTATTATGTCTGTGTTACAATTGACAGAGGGCTTAATTTGTCGCTAGGAAGCAAACGGTGGCAAGTGTTAAAAATTGTAATAAAACCATATTTGCTAATACGTTCTATGAGGACGTGACTAACATAAATTAGCACAGTAGGCAACACCTATATACCAGAAGGTAATACTTCAGTTTCCTTGGAATCAAAGAAAAGGCCTGTACTATGCACAACCTAAGCAAATACCATTTGAATATCAAGGGAGAGCGACGAGCACGGCTGGTTTCGCAGAGCTTCCGGCTGTCCTTCTGAATCCCAATTTCCGGTCTGCAGCACCAGAATGTTGTCCAAGCATTCCTTTGTTTTCTCCTGTAAACAGATAAAGAAATGCAGTTGATGGATACGAGACTCGAGGCGGCAGGTGAACAGTGATAACAGCTTTATTCAACAAGTTAGAAGAAATCAGAACGAGACAAACAAACAGAGCAACAGGCTCCTTTTTAAACAGTCCGGGCTTGGCAAGCCACGCCTCCATGTCCAGGGGTCATTTCGTAGAAAAAGAGCTAGGGGAACTCATTAGCATAACTCATTAGCATATGCCACACACCCTGACATCACTGGAAGTGTGTCATAAGGCCACACCCCCTGACGTCACCAGAAGTGTGTCATAAGGCCACACACCCCGCCCCCAACGGTCCCGGCCATCGCCGCCGGCCTTGCAGCTCCACTGCCGAGCCCCATGAGGGGCCCGGTGGTGGACCTGCAAGGCCAGCGGGAGTGCAAGGAAGTCCCGCGAAGGCCCTCCCTGGCCCCAGGCAGGCAGGGGTGGGGAGAGGCAGGGAGGAAGCAACTTACCCTCCCTCTTCTCCTGCCTCCTCCTGGCTGAATGAGGGCCGGAAGCGGGGCGGCCGGAAGCAGGGGGCGGGGCTTCATCATGTGCCCCGCCCCCTGTACCTCACCCGGGGGAACTGCGTTCCCCCGCGTTCCCCCCCGAAATGACCCCTGCGGATAACATCCAATCAGATATCTCTCCCTTATTATAA